TACAGACATGATAGCAAAAGTCACAGGGGTGTTTATTTTCAAGGGGTGCTTATTTTCACGATTTTACGGTAATAATAATAAGCTTTATTAAATCAATATTAGTAATTATCAGAATATAAATGTTCAATTAAAATTAAAAATTATAATCTTATATGTTTTATTTATCTTATTAAAAGATGGGAAAAATTATGTAAAAATAGAAAAATAATATATATAGAATGAAAAAATTTTTACTGATTAATAAAATGGTAATAAGTCATATAAATACTTTCAATTGATTATATGGGTGATTGGCTATTAAAATCATCTTATAAATCATAATAAATCATATGATCTATAAGGTGATTTTAATAGACAATTTTCCATTTACAGATATAGGATAATTAATTGTATCACTTAATTAGATGATAAAAAAGAGATAAGCATCCCATTTTTATTAGCTAAATGAAATATGTTTGAAAAATATATGAAAATATTAAAGAAGGGTAAAAAAAAAATTACTTATAAAATATATTATCCCTTAGATTATAGGCTTATTTACTATATATATTCAATTCTGATTTACTTTTTAAATTAATGTTTAATGTTTTTCTTCTTGCAAAATTCGATTTAATAATTATATTATTAAATATATGCAAAATATTCATAATAAATAATGATAAATTCTTTATAGATAATTGTTATAAAAAACTATTTTATTATTATTTTTGTATTAAGAAACTGTTAGAAACCTTTAGATTTAAAATTGTTAATAATAAACAAGTTATATTTTTTTCTAAAATATCTTTTTTGTGAATGAGAGTTGTATCTTTGAATAACAAGCAACTTGAAGTATCGGGCTATTATTTAGGTGGGTATCATTTGAATTAGTTACTTGTATATTATTTTTACTTTGTGGGATCATCTCTTTATGGGATTATTCTCTTATTCCTATGTATCCAATTTTCTAAAGCTTTGATAAAATGCTTTAACAGAATAATACTGACTGTTCTGAGAACAATGTTTGGTATCAGACTCTCTTTCGATTGAATCTGATCACCTTTTTCTTTTTTTTTTAATAATTTAATAATCACAGTAATTACCAGAACTTTTAATAATAATCATTTTATGAGCACAATCTACTGCGGAACTTAAAAAAATGGCACAGTGTCACAAAAACCAAAATTCGCGTAAATGTTCATAATAGGTAAATGTTCATAATAGCCATAAATTTTTTTCGCAGTTATAAAATGAGTAGCATTACACTTTTTAGTCTCGTTCGAGGCAAAGTTCCAGCTAATGCTTTTTCAGTAAAGGCTAAACATAGCTATTGGTAAATTTAAAAAACTTATCAAAAAGAAGAATCCAAATGCTTTCGCCAACTTTGATGCTGACGATCTCTTATTATGGAAAGTCAATTTCCAACAAGTGAAAGGGTAAAATTTGAACTACTCAAATCTCCCGAATTATTAATTGAAGAGGTGTTAGAAGGTGTTGAGGTAGAAAACGCCACAGAAAAGGTTGGAAAGATTTTTAATTATACAATCAAGAAAAAACATATTAATGTTGTTGTTGAAGGACCTGCTACTACCGCTAAATCTAGTCAAGAAACGTTAGAGTTGAGAAAGGAATTGGATTTTTTGCGAAGTCTGCAAAAAGGTATATTTTTATTTTATAGTAAGCTGGTCCTAACCTACTGCTATAATTTTTCACCGTATTTTTAATCAAGGCATCGTTTGCGAAAAAAAGTAAGAAATTTAGTTGGATAGTTAACTTTTCCAAATTGTCATTAGTAAGGTTAAGGATATATATCTACCGACAATTATCTTTTCCTGAAGAATTGACCCAAAGGATTTAATTCTCAGTTGTAGCAATGATAATAATGAGGAACAAAATTTAGTTGATAAGGAATCATATGAACAATTTCTCAAAGCCTGTGTTTCAACGAACTCCTTTACTCTTAAAGTCAATGTTTATTCTGTAGAAACCATATACAGAATGGAATCCTAGTACGGTTTGCACTACCAATTCATACCTGTGGTATCGATCCAAAATCCAAAAAATGCTGTCGCATCTTATTGAAGAATTAAAACTCCGTCGATCAACAATCCGCGGTGAATCAAAAGCTTATAATAGCAAATTTGTATTACCATTTCTTGTGGTGGCAAAGTTCGGTGTGTGATGGGAGGTTAAAATATATCCAGAGGAATACGTTCAAGGAAAATATGGTCGTGGACCAGTGGATTTCTGTTTGATGTTTGAAATATAATCATTAATGTTTTAGAAGTAAAAAAAGATGATTTTAATCAAGGTGTAGCGCAATTCGTCGTACAACTTCGTTCATCAATTGAGGTAAGTAGGAATATAAATTTGATTATATTGGTATTTATTATAAGCCTAACTTTGTGGTTCCATAGTTTGTCTCGAAAGCGAAAACGCGAAGATGACGAAGATTTGATCATTGATAAAACGTATGGAGTAGTCACTGATAGTACTTTATGGTATTTCTTTGAATGTTCTATGGAGGAGGATAAACAAGAATATAAAATCCATTCAGAAGAGGGAACTATAATCGATTGGGGTAAAATTTAGAGGAAGGGTAAATAAAGTCTTAGGAGAAATCGGTTGGTTATTAAAAGGGGCAGTAAGTTTGGTAGAGTCAAAAAAAAACAAAAGAAAACGAAATTAGGTATAGCACAATAATATAATAGGTTCGTGATAATTCTATTTCCTAACGTAATGTATATTGCTAATAAACAGACTTTATGTTAAGATCAAATTTGCGTTCGCATTTATATTTTATATGTTGTGGAATTGTTTTGTGATAATTCGTTAATCTGTTGATCGGATTTGTTTTTTTTAGCTGAAATATTTAAGGCTATGTTAAAGATCAATTTCGATTTTCATTACTAATCGTTGTATGGCTAATCAAAGGACGATAAGGATGAATTCATTTGATTTTATTTTCACTAATTCCGCAATTGCGTTTTAATAACTTTCTAATCTTTTTTTTACAGGGTCCATAATTAGAAACAATCACGCTGGAATCACCTATGCAATCGTAAAAAATTCTGAATTCGATTAAAGAACCGCGTTGTTTATCATGCTCGTGTTCAGATATCAGCATAGTATCGAATGTGTGGAAAATTTTCTTCACTGCTTAAATTTCATGCAGTGTTAGGGTTACGGGCGTGCTTATACGTCGATTGAAATTATCGCGGACCCTAATTTTTCATTGTTTTCAGTTTAATCAAAGATAAGTTCAGAGGAATGGTGAGATTTTATTGTTGCCATTTTCGCAACTACGTATTAACGAGGATTGTCCTATTATTAATAGGTTCTATTTTTCACATATGTATTAAAGGCATACGTATTCAATATTCCCATTTTATTCTTAATAAAACAATATTCTCGCGTATGAAACAGCGTCTTACTGATTTGAATGATATGATCTGTGGAGTATCCGTTGATCTGGATTTGCATGGTTGATCATACCCAATGGCAATTATTTCGATTTTGGATCGTAGATGTAGTTTGTGAGTTAAGTAAAGTTGGTTATTATTTGATAACCGCTCTTTTCTTATATTAATGCTAATCAATCAAACTTGCCTTTCTGAGGATCATACGGGTTTGTAATAAGACGTAATATGAAGCGGAAAAATACTCCACCTGCGTGAACTGGCACAATTACCAAATTATACCACATCACTACCGTGATATAAACATTACTTTCCGGTTCATATACGAAAGGGTCATTGATCCAGATTTTTGTGATGCGTCGATTTCAAGATCTGATGTATATTACTACAAACATATAAAAAGGAGGTAAGTTTCATCAGCTGATCCTTTAATCCACTTAAACGAGAAACCCAAACGAAAATTCTTATAAAATTTCAAACTTACCATTACATCCATCGCCAATATCATCAATCAATCCAACGAGAAGATTCTACAAAATAAACAATGTATGTTATTTAATTGCTTGGATAGATTCTAGTAGAGTGTCATCATAGTACTAACCGATTTTTTCGACTATAGATGAACAAAATCAAAGCGGACATATTACCTTTCTTGATCCTTCCCACACATTTGTGCTATTCGCTAAGAAATCTCTGAATATCTAATCATCGGTTAACGCAGTAAAATTTCTGTAATTGTTTACAGTTGAACCTCTCTATAACGAACTCTAATTTTTTGTTTTTGCGAATTACACGAAATTTTATTAAATAAAATAATTGAATATAACGAATTTTTATAATAAATCTTACTATTATGTATGTACTGTACAACAAATTGAAAATCCATAAGTATAATATCAAATTTTATATTAAGAGAACAGTTTCGCCAGTTTAAGATCTTGTTGGTATTATTTGATATATCTTATTATATGAAATAATTGAACTTTTTTTAAACCTTTTTTTTTTATGTATATTTAATGCTTATACCTATCTTTACTTAATTCATTATTTTACAACTATATAGGATAAAAAACATTTTAAAATCTTACCAATTATTCAAAATATATTTAAAAATATAATATTATTATTTCCTATATCTTATAGTAGTTACAAATTAGTTAGTTTATCTCATGATTTTCAATCAAGTATTATGCATAAAAACTTACATTTTTTTTAAATTTTTAGTTAAAATACATTATAAAATTTATTATAAATCTATTATTTTTAAATAAAATTTCAATTTAATAATTAAAATATTAAATATATACAAAAAATTTATGATTTTTTTTATAAATAAATAATATTTAAATATATAAATAAATGTTTTAATTATAAATTTATATATTTTGTAAAGTTTTTTTAATAATATAAAAATAAAAATTTGGCTTTTATAAAGAAAATAATTTTATTAAAAAATTTTCAAAACTTTGATCTTAAATTATTGCAAAAAGTTATTAATTAATGTAATTTTTTTTTTGATTTTACTTAAAAAACATTATAAATTTTATTATAAAACTATTATTAGTTTAATAATTAATTTTTAATATATGTAAAATTCCTTTTAAATTTAAAAGAAAAACCATTGAAAGGATAGTATAGCAATTATTTAACTGTAACAAATTAATTTTGTATAAATAGAATAACTTTTTGCTTAAGTTGTAAATTAATTCTTTTGTGAAGTTTAAGTGATAAATAAAGAAATCAAAGAAATCAATTTTAAAACATAATTACATTTCTCTTTTATATATTTCTTACCTAATATTTGATTATGAATTATTATATTACCTTGCTATTAAGTTTATTACTAAGAATAAATAAATTCTTTAAGTTTTTTTAAGTTCTTAAATTTTTAAATTTGTAAAGTTTAGCAAGAAATTTCAAATACTTATAAGTAATATTGTATATTTTTATGTTCAAAACATTTTAAGAATATCCAATATTATATTTATTACTGTCCAATACTATGTTCAAATATTTAACACTATGTCTAAAATATTATTTAAGAATGTCTCATAATAACATTGCTTATAGAATATGAGGTTCTTTAAGGTTGTAAAATCTAATAATAAAAACTTATTTATCACATAACTTGAAAGAAATATATAAAAAGAAAGTATTTTTAATGATAGCATGTTATTATTCAGTTTTATTAAATTATATAAAAAAAATATATATATAAATTAATGAAGTATTATTGATATATAGGCTGATTATATATTAAATTATATCAGGCTATTCTAGATATATTTTTTTGAAAATATTGAAAAATTAATAAAATATAATGTTTTAATTATGAGATTATATGATTTAATTTTAACTAATCCTAAATTTATAATCACATGATTTTTATAAATTTTAATTTAAAATATTTGATGATTTATTATGTTCCTTACTATACAATATAAAGATGCTTGTCAAAACTTCTCAAAATAATTTTATCATACTCTTTACTATACAGTCAAACCTTGATATAGTGAATCCTTGATATAGCGAATTTTTAAATCAAATATATTAAAATTACCTTACTATAGTGAACTAGCCAATTAAATTCTTTAAAAAATTCGTATAATCTTATAACGAAGTTGATATCCAGATCCTAGAATTCGTTATATCAAGAGTTCACTGTATTTTTAATATAGTTTCAGTTAATTTCAGATTTTAGAGTTTTATTATATCTACGGTTGCTTGTCTAAACTCATTTTGGATTTGGCTAAATGTCTAAACCTTTAATTTCACTAAATTTTTACTAAGTGTTTGATATAGTTTCGCCATTTTTATAAGCTTTGATATAGTTTTACTTTCTTCTAAATTTCCCAGATTTTTTAATAAGATTTTAATATAATTTAATCAAGTTTTACTTTTACCATTTAGATGTCTGTCTAAACTCTGGATTTTATCTAGCAACCTTAATCATACTTCTCACTATGTTTTAATATAATTTCAGCTATTTATTAATAGCTTTTTTTGGGTTTTGTTCCTCATCTTTAATATAATAGCAATAGTGTAATTAGTTCTATTTTTAGAATAATCTAGTTTTATCGTAATTGAAAATATTTTAAGTTTATAATTACTCTAAATAGTTTTTTTATGCATTTTAAACAATTTATTAATTGATGTAAAAGTATTTTTATTTTATTTTAAATATTATAAATATTATGTCATTTTTTAAATTTTTCAATCCATTTATCTGAAGCTTTGAATTTATTATTATTTATAATTATAATACTTTTATTTGTAAAATATTATCTAAAATATCTAATCTAATATTTAATGTTTAATCAATTCAAATTGTTAAATCATCATATATTGAAAAACAAAAATCTTTTAGTATTTTCAATAATAAATAATAAGCCACTTTTCTGATTTTTTAGAATATCTATAATAATTTTAAAATCAATATTATATTTCTATATTAATTCAGTATTTTTATAATACTAAAAATAGTCAAAATTAATAATAATAAATAATGAATATAAAATTTTAATTTATTTTATATTTTACATGTAAATAAATTTTTATTTTAGTATCTTATTTATATAATATATAAAATAAGATAGTAAAATTGATATTTATTATATAATATAAAGAATTTATTTATTATATTTTAAACTTTTTATTATAAAAAATTCAGAACTAAATACAAACTTTAATATATTAAAAATTTGTTATATAAATCATATTATATTAATATTAAATTAATATCATAAATAATATTAAATTGATATATTTGTAATATATTAGAAGTATACTAGAAAAATAGGATTTTAAGAATTTTTTAATAAATTTTAAATTTTAGTCAAAAAATTCTCAGAATTTATTTTTCATTTTTTTAACAAATTTTCATACTATTATAATACTAATTTAAAGTCATTAAGTTAAATTTATTAATGTTATTTTAATATAAATATTATATTATAATAATATCAAATCAATTATATATTAATTTAACTTTATTAAAAATTTTAATATAATTTTAGAATAAATTTTAATATTTTTATAATATTATAATCAAAACCTATTAATATAAGATATTATTAATATTTTAAAAACTAATAAGCTTTAATATAGCTTATAACTACTAGATATGATTCTGCTATTTACTATTAAGAGAATTTGTAACATAAATTATTTATT